ACACGGTCCATCGCCTCCGCCAAACGCCCTGTAACAACAAGAGAAAGTCTATAATGGAAGCCTTGAAGACAGACCTCGAGTGCGGATCCACTGCCGGCGCCAGTCTCGTCGCCCCTTCCCCTTTCCTCGCTCTCCTGCTGGTGGGCGTCCCTTTATTCCTGATGGGGACACCGTAAACGCGACCCAGAGACGTAAATGCGCCGTAGACATCCCAGAACAACAACTGTTTCCCATTTTCTCTGACTTTAGACGTGGCGGAGTAAAGCATGACGTTCAAGAAAAAGATTCGCTTCCTAGTGAGGATCCCACTGTCCGTGAAGAAAACGGGCGTAAGGAAGCGGAAATATTGTCAGTTCACCCTCAAGAGAGGTGGTGTTCGTGTTGCCATTTTCAAGAAACAGGTTATGCTGAAAATAATATATATGATGACAAAGAACATCATACTAATATTAGTGTTACACTTCTGTCGCTTTCAGGGGAAGTACCACACTATAGAAATATTGGAAAGGATCATAAGATTGAGCAAACCGCCAAAGAAAACGTGAGATCCATAGAAAATGGAGAAAACGCGACATTCACAGAAAACGAAGAAAATGTGTGTTGTTTCTGGGAATACTTCGATTGTTCGGCTAATGAGGATGAATTCCGTATGAAAGGCGATGATCGAGAGTTGAATCCACATAAACCATCCGGAAACCAAAGTAGTGTAGAATATGCGAATCCGAACCGAGAGAGAGATCCTATTCCGACACCTGAAGGTAATTTAACCTCTTTAAATGGAGTGAGTGATTGTGTGTTCAATGATAGTATTCGATTGCCGTGTTCCGTTCATTTTATAAATTATTCGTCTACTTTTCTTCTTCCTCTCTACCTGCCACCGCCGCCGCCAATTCTTCCTCCTCCCCCGCTTTTTAGTCCTCCTTTTCTTCTCCCTCTCTCTCCTCTACCTTTTTCTCTTCTTCCTTCACCTCATCTTGTTCAACAGCATTTGCATCCTCAACCATCCGTTTTCCAATATCTCTTATGCAGTCTTTCTTCTCTTCATCTCCCCTTACCTCCACCTCCTCTTCCTCCTCCACCTCCTCTTCTCCCTTCTCTTCTTCTCCCTCTTCCACCTCCTCTCCGTTTCTTCTTCCCTCCTTCGCCTGCCTCTTCAAGATAACTAGACCAATTACAGATTTATTGTCACGCCTTTCTATGTCATATAAATTTGTAAAAGTTTTTTTTTTTAAACAATCTAGTTTTAATCTAGTGTTATAAAAGCCTCTTGTTGGAAGAGGTTTCTGCAGGCCGAATGATATCGACTCTCACGATGATGATGAGAGAGAATCCACCAGAAAATAAAAAGAAAATAAATAAAAATGTCTACCATAAAAAAAGATAAAAAAAAAGTCTGCAATTCCCAAGACTGTTGTTTTAAACGATATTGATAATGATAATGAGTAATGTAGTATAGATGTGTAATTATAGGCCTACATACGTCTTCCTAGAACAATCATGTAGTAATTTCACCCTCTGGAAGAAATCTGGTGTTCAGAAATTGGCGTTTATAACGTCTGTAGTTGATTACAGTACTGTATTATCCCTGCACATGATGTACCTTATCCCCTTGTATGATTTAACTGTTATATATATATATGTAGTGTTTATCTATGATTATTTTCTCCATGTTCATTTCAAAGAGGAAAAAAACAGTAATCTCCTATGCCTTTTATTTTCTCTTTCTCTCTTTCTCACAACGACAATAGTCAACACAGCCATGCTATAATGATACTTAATACAATGGTATATGAATGCAGTCTTTATTTAACGAACAAAAGGTTACTCATGTATTCTTGTAGTGTAGTGTATGTGTATTTTCCTCTTTATGCTCCTCGATTGCACACCTCACATTTATTGATACCTGAAATATCTATCTTTAGTAAACTATCTTTTTACTTAATTCACTTCGTGTATAGAAAATAAATCTATATGATAAACCTGTGTTTGTTTCATACCTTATGGGAAGGCATTTTTTTTTTTGGTATCTGTATTACATTAAAGATACAGATAGCATATATATATATATATATATATATATATATATATATATATATATATATATATATATATATATATATATGTATATATATGTATATATATACATATATATACATATATATATATATATATATATATATATATATATATATATATATATATATATACATATATATATATATATATATATATATATATATATATATATATATATATATATATTTATATATATATATATATATATATATATATATATATATATATATATATATACATACATATATATATATATATATATATATATATATATATATATATATATATATATATATATATATATAATACAAATATATATATATATATATATATATATATATATATATATATATATATATATATATATATTTATATATTTATATATTTATATATTTATATATTTATATATATTTATATATGTATATGTATATGTATATATATATATACATATATATATATATATATATATATATATATATATATATATATATATATATATATGTATACATATATGTATATAAATATATATATATATATTATATATATATATATATATATATATATATATATAAATTTATATATATACATATATGAATATACATATACATACATTCACACACATACACACATATATACAAAGACAAATAAATATATACAGTTATAAAACAGGACTAACTGGTCATTTTACACACACATAGAGATAGATTAGATAAATAAATAAACAATGAGATAGTCCTCACTATCCACCAGTAATAAAAAGGATGATCAGAGTCTATTTACGAATGCATTCCTGATAACACTATGGACTTTCTATCTTTACAATATATTCTGCATTATATTCAACACTATAAGATGTCTATCTTTATAATATATTTCGCATTATATTCTGCTACTCTTGCTACACCCTGTTATAATCTATATTAAATTATTAGTATAGATTCTGTAATTTCCCATTAGAACTGTTAACATGCCAATACACACTGAATGTACAATCACGTTAGAGAAATGGGTTTGCTTGAATTTGATATCACTCAATTAAAATCTATCATTAAAACTAGATAGATAGATAAAAAATCAAATCATATCACGGGAGGATTACGTAGAAGCAGAAGTCTAGATATGATAATGATAATAATAACAATAATGATGATGATAATGAGTAATGTAGTATAGATGTGTAATTATAGGCCTACATACGTCTTCCTAGAACAATCATGTAGTAATTTCACCCTCTGGAAGAAATCTGGTGTTCAGAAATTGGCGTTTATAACGTCTGTAGTTGATTACAGTACTGTATTATCCCTGCACATGATGTACCTTATCCCCTTGTATGATTTAACTGTTATATATATATATAATTATATATATATATAATTATATATATATATATATATACTATATATATATATATGTATATATATACATATATATATATATAATATATATATATATACATATATATATATATACTATATATATATATATAATATATATATATATACATATATATATATATATGTATATATATGTATATATATACATATATATATATATATACTATATATATATATATATATACTATATATATATATATATTATATATATATATATACTATATATATATATATATACTATATATATATATATGTAGTGTTTATCTATGATTATTTTCTCCATGTTCATTTCAAAGAGGAAAAAAACAGTAATCTCCTATGCCTTTTATTTTCTCTTTCTCTCTTTCTCACAACGACAATAGTCAACACAGCCATGCTATAATGATACTTAATACAATGGTATATGAATGCAGTCTTTATTTAACGAACAAAAGGTTACTCATGTATTCTTGTAGTGTAGTGTATGTGTATTTTCCTCTTTATGCTCCTCGATTGCACACCTTCTCACATTTATTGATACCTGAAATATCTATCTTTAGTAAACTATCTTTTTACTTAATTCACTTCGTGTATAGAAAATAAATCTATATGATAAACCTGTGTTTGTTTCATACCTTATGGGAAGGCATTTTTTTTTTTTTTTGGTATCTGTATTACATTAAAGATACAGATAGCATATATATATATATAGATATATATATATATAGATATATATATATATATGTAGTGTTTATCTATGATTATTTTCTCCATGTTCATTTCAAAGAGGAAAAAAAAAACAGTAATCTCCTATGCCTTTTATTTTCTCTTTCTCTCTTTCTCACAACGACAATAGTCAACACAGCCATGCTATAATGATAATCATGATAATGATATCGATGATATCAATAATGATAATGATAATAATTACAATTATTATAATGATGATAATTACAATAATGATAATAGCTGTAATAAAGATGACAACACTGATAATGATAACAGCAATAACAATAATGTTCGCATTGATGATAATAATAATAATAATAACAATAATGATAATAGCTGTAATAAAGATGACAACACTGATAATGATAATAATAATGATAATAATGATAATAGTGATAATAATAATGATAATAATAATAATGGTAATAATAACGATAACAATAATAATAATAATAATAATAACAATAATGATGATGATGATAATAATGATAATAATAATAATAATAACGATAACAATAATAATAATGATAATAGTGATAATAATAATGATGATAAATATAAAGATAATAATTATAATAATAACAATCATAATCATAACGATAATAATCATAACAATGATGATAATAGTAGTAATAAAGATGACAACACTGATAATGATAACAATAATAATGATAATAATAATAACAATAATGATAATAGCTGTAATAAAGATGACAACACTGATAATGATAATAATAATGATGATAATAATATTGATGATGATGAAACGTGATGACGATGATGAAAATGGTGATGACGATAGTGATAACGCCAATGAAAATGGTGCTGACGATGATAACGACAATGATGATGGCGATATTGATAATCATGATAATGATATCGATGATATCAATAATGATAATGATGATGCCGATATTGAAAATTATGATAATGATATCGATGATAATATTAATAATGATAATGATGATACCGATACTGATAATGATCATGATTGTAGTAATGGTAACGAACAATTAACACCGAATAAAGATACGTACTTAACAACAATAAATATTAGACAATCACCCTCAGTAATTACCAGTGACAGTAAACTTGGACAGACGAAAGTAATGAGTCCCTCCTTACCCCCACCCCCCCCAATTCCTTTCTCTTGTGAAAGGACTTGAGGAATACTAGCCCAAGTTTCTAGACGATTACAGATGGTGTTAAAATAAGGATAGGAATAGCATTAATGAGTCATAATAATAATAAAAAGATAATGATAATAGCTGTAATAAAGATGACAACACTGATAATGATAATAATAATAATAATAACAATAATGATAATAGCTGTAATAAAGATGGACAACACTGATAATGATAATAATAATAATAACAATAATGATAATAGCAATAATAATAATGATAATTATAATAATGATGATAACAATTATAATAATAATAATAATGATAATAGTGATAATAATAATGATGATAATGATAATGATGATAATAATAATAATGGTAATAATAACGATAACAATAACAATGGTGATAATAATGACGATGATAATAATAACGATAATAATAATAACGATAATAATAATAATAATAATAATAATGATAATAATAATGATAATAACGATAATAATAATAATAATAACGATAATAATAATAATAATAATAATAATAATAACAGTAATAACAATAATAATAGTAGTAGTAAGAATGATAATGATAACAGCAATAACAATAATGTTCGCATTGATGATAATAATAATAATAATAATGATAATAATAATAATAATAATGATAATAATAATAATAATGATAATAATAATAATAATAATAATAATAATGATAATAATAATGATAATAATGATAATAATAATAATAATAATAATAATAATAACAACGATAATAATAATAATAATAATAATAATAAAAAAAATAATAGTAAAAACAATAATGATAACATTAATAATAATAATAATAATAGTAATAATAATAATAATAATAATAATAATAATAATCTGAATGATGATGATTTTGCTCTGAATAATGATGATAACAATATAAACGATGATAAAAAGACAAGATATGCAAGCCATAAACGTACAACAAAAATGCATGTACTCTTCACTCTCCCCAGTTCCTCTGCTCTGCATTAGAACTCCAGGATTCCTACCCCGAGTTCCTCCTTCTCTTAACACAGTGCGTTGTAGACATCCAGGTCAACGTATATAAATAGTCCAGTTAAGGCAAAACGGGTGCAAAAGGTCCTTGCGTTATTCTGAGGGTCTCTAAATATGGTTGAAGAAAGTGTGACTAGTTCTGGTAAGCTTTAGTGTCAGTTGTTTCATTTTTGTTGGTGTACTGAATAACTAATGCTATGCGTGTTATGGAATTGTCTGTATTTTTTATCATTTATGTGTTATTGTTTTGTTTTTTTTAGCGTGGAATCGTGACGCTACAGATTTGGGTCTGTGTGATGCGCCGCAGGGATTTCAAGGACCGCCTTATCTCTCGGCACAAGGTATTTATAATATTATATTTTTTTATTTTTTATATATATTGACTATATGTTGTTATAATGTATAATAGGGTGGACCTCTAACTTGTTTTATTTTTCAGAAGGCGCGTCAGACTTTCCTCCTTACAGTCTCCCTACATCGTTCCACGACCCGATCTTCCCTATGCCACAGGACCACAGCTCCTGGGAAAGCCTCCTCCTCGATCCACTGCAAGAGGTGGACCTCCTCAGCCTCCCTCAGACGTACACTCAGTTTCTCCCCTTAACGCCGCCGCTCACCGCCGACGCGTATCTCAGTGCCGGATCTTCGCCTACCACACCTTCAGTACCCTCGCCAACCTATTCGTGCCCACCGGCCCCTTCCTCTTCCCAAAGTCTTGTCGGACGAGGGTTGATCCCCTCCATGTATCCCTCTGGAACGCTGACGCCCCCGGTATCGCCCGCACCAACAGTCATCGCCACGAACCTCGCCGCGCAGCAGGTCCGAGTCATCACTCCGTCGGAGGTTTTGCCGTTGTCAGGGAAACCCGTCGTGGCCAAGCAGACGAGGCAGAAGTTCCCCTGCTCCGATTGCGGCAAGCTCTACACGCAGCGCAGAGCCAGGGATCTTCACATGCTCGTCCACACGGGAGAGCGCCCCTTTGTCTGCGACCGCTGCGGCGCCGCCTTCAACCGCCCCGGGACGCTCAAGGTACACCGTATCACGGAGGTCTGCCTTCGCAAGCAGCGGCGGGCGTTCGACCAGCGAGCCAGCGCTCGAGCCGGGAGGACGTGGGCGCACCGGACGTCAATGGCCGCGTCCAAGTGA